GAGTGGCCGCACATTTGCGGTCTATTAAAAAAGGACATATGTGCCGAGAGCGCGCACCCTGCGCTTTCCCAGCACACATGTCCGGTACTCACGGAAAGGTCCCGATCGCCTCTTTCGATGGGGACCTTTCCCGATCATGTGAACGCCGTGACGGCGCATCACGGCTGTCACATGACCCTAAACCCCACCCCGCCTCCCGTCTTCTGAAACTCTTAAAGGGCCGGGAGGCGCCGGCATGAAGGGGTTAAAGCAGAACTTCACTCTTTTAGTCAATTGACAATGTTTTCATCTTTATACTGCTGGAATTAGTAAACGCATAGGAAAGTATAATCAATTTACTGGTTTTTAACCTTTTATTCAGCTATGTCCTGCTTTCCAAGCCTAGGCAAGTGAGGTCATAAATTGAGTCTTCAGGAGTGGAGGAGGAGTTATCTCACAAAGCAGACCCTCCTGCCTGAGCTAAAGGCAGATGGATCCCAGGAAGTAACTGCTACACGAATCGTGTACCCTTACTCAAGATGGCCACGGCCAGAAATGCTGGGGGGGGGGGGGGGGTGTTTATCAAAGTGATTTCCTAGCAAAAAGCATGGAGACACAGATGGATGGGGGAGTTTTTGAATATTTATAATGAATTAAATTAGCTTTTTTGGTTTGTATTGCAAAGATGCAGTGCAGTTCCGCTTTAACAAAAATGACTAACGAAAAAAAGTTAAATAATTAAAAGCGGTAATGTGTGCGATTAGTAGACTCCTTGACTTCACATCAAACAAAAAATAAATAAAAGTCTTTGTAATCCTCAAATCTCCCTGGATTTGACTTTTGAGGCATTTATTTATGAGATTTAAGGCTAGAATTCCTTTGCAGCATTAAAAAGCCAAAACCCCATCAGGCATTTCAAGCCTTGCCAAAAACCTCAGGTCCTCATGCACACGGAACGTTTTTACAGCGGCTGTTTTTGGCATCTGACATTTTTTTCTACAGCCAGTAAACCCCCCCAGCATGTTATCCTATATGTTCATACACACATACAGGTGAAACTCAAAAAATTAGAATATCGTGCAAAAGTTCATTTATTTCAGTAAAGCAATTTAAAAGGTGAAACCAAAGTGCTGTATCAAAGCACATTAATAGAAAGTTACGTGGAAGGGAAAAGTGTGGAAGAAAAAAGGTGCACAAGCAGCAGGGATGACCGCAGCCTGGAGAGGATTGTCAGGAAAAGGCCATTCAAAAGTGTTGGAGACTTTCACAAGGAGTGGACTGAGGCTGGAGTCAGTGCATCAAGAGCCACCACACACAGACGGATCCTGGACATGGGCTTCAAATGTCGTATTCCTCTTGCTAAGCCACTCCTGAACAACAAACAACGTCAGAAGCGTCTTACCAGGGCTAAAGAAAAAAACACACCTGGTCTGTTGCTCAGTGGTCCAAAGTCCTCTTTTCTGATGAGAGCAACTTTTGCATCTCCTTTGGAAACCAAGGACCCCGAGTATGGAGGAAGAATGGAGAGGCCCAAGGACCCCGAGTATGGAGGAAGAATGGAGAGGCCCAAGGACCCAGAGTATGGAGGAAGAATGGAGAGGCCCAAGGACCCAGAGTATGGAGGAAGAATGGAGAGGCCCAAGGACCCAGAGTATGGAGGAAGAATGGAGAGGCCCAAGGACCCCGAGTATGGAGGAAGAATGGAGAGGCCCAAGGACCCCGAGTATGGAGGAAGAATGGAGAGGCACCAAGGACCCCGAGTATGGAGGAAGAATGGAGAGGCACACACTGCAAGATGCTTGAAGTCCAGTGTGAAGTTTCCACAGTCTGTGTTGATTTGGGGAGCCATGTCATCTGCTGGTGTTGGTCCACTGTGCTTCATTAAGTCCAGGGTCAATGCAGCCGTCTACAAGGAGATTTTGGAGCACTTCATGCTTCCTTCCGCAGACAAGCTTTATGGGGATGCTGACTTCATTTTCCAGCAGGACTTGGCACCTGCCCACACTGCCTAAAGCACCAAAACCTGGTTCAATGACCGTGGGATTACTGTGCTTGATTGGCCAGCAAACTCGCTTGACCTGAACCCCATAGAGAATCTATGGGGCATTGCCAAGAGAAAGATGAGAGACATGAGACCGAACAATGCAGAAGAGCTGAAGGCCGCTATTGAAGCATCCTGGTCTTCCATAACACCTCAGCAATGCCACAGGCTTATAGCTTCAATACCATGCCGCATTGAGGCAGTAATTGCTGCAAAAGGGGCCCAAACCAAGTACTGAGTACATATGCTGCTTCTACTTTTCAGAGGTCCGATATTGTTCTATGTACAATTCTTGTTTTATTGATTGCATGTAATATTCTCATTTTCTGAGATTGTGGATTTGGGGTTTTCATGAGCTGTAAGACATAATCATCGCAATGATGACAAATCACGGCTTGAACTATCTTGCTTTGCATGTAATGAGTCTATCTCATATATTAGTTTCACCTTTTAAGTTGCTGCACTGAAATAAATGAACTTTTGCATGATATTCTAATTTTTCGAGTTTCACCTGTAGACCGGAATCAATCAACATTTTTTGGCTGGAAAAACCGAGGACAAGTGGGCTTCTAGAGGAGTTTTTTTAGCTTTAAAAATGCTCTAACGCTGAAAAATGCGGTAAAACGCAAGGTTTATTTTTTTATCTTTATGCATTCTATTTATGAAGGTAAAAAAACAAACAAAAAAAAAAACCCAAAAAAAAAAAAAACACACTGTGTGCAGCAACGCCCCCCCCCCCTCCCCTCACCAGCCCCCCTAATACTTACCTGAGCCTCATCGAGATACACATCCTCCCACCCGATTTAAACTTCAAAATGCCGTACTATCGTGTCACAATCACATTGCACAGCAATCACAGATTTAAATCATGGTGGTCAAAAAGGCACCCACATTTCACCTCCCCACCTCCTGCCAAACACACTCAGAATGCTTTGCAGAGGAGCAGTAGTGCCTGTTGCACTTATGAATGAGCACTTAGTTGCATCCGGCAGCGGCACTCTTGGGGCTCGTTAACATGCAAAGTTGGGAGGGGGTGATAAAACTCTGTGGTTGAGTCACTGTTTTACTACCCCATTCCCATTCCATGCCACAGCAGAAACTACACCCCCTGTTACTTTTGGCGGGTGCTACCGCCTGTTAATCAAGACCCATTCAAGTAAATGGGGCTATTCTGCAGGTTTCTCAGCAACTGCATACTTCTGCGGGGTCCAAGGGGTGCAGGGGGCCAAGTGGTGAGAAAGCAACACACCACTGCCTTTTTAGCCCCTTGTTTGCTATATTGGACAAGGTTGCAGAACACTTGCAGAGCTGCCTCATTCACTTGACTGGATCTGAGTCTGTGCTGGCTCCTATGCCCTTTCATGGTTGGAGGGTATAGCACCTGCCAAGCATGACCCAGTCAAGTGAAGTCAGAGGAGACTTCAAACTTTTGTGGCTCTCGCTCCCTACTACAGCTCCAACATACGTGGTTCTCGCTCCTTACTACAGCTCCAACGTACGTGGCTCTCGCTCCCTACTACAGCTCCAACGTACATGGCTCTCGCTCCCTACTACAGCTCCAACGCACGTGGCTCTCGCTCCCTACTGCAGCTCCAACGCACGTGGCTCTCGCTCCTTACTACAGCTCCAACACACGTGGCTCTCGCTCCCTACTACAGCTCCAACACACGTGGTGCTCTTGCTCCCTACTACAGCTCCAACGTATGTGGCTCTTGCTCCCTACTACAGCTCCAACGTATGTGGCTCTTGCTCCCTACTACAGCTCCAACGTATGTGGCTCTTGCTCCCTACTACAGCTCCAACGTATGTGGCTCTTGCTCCCTACTACAGCTCCAACTATGTGGCTTTTGCTCCCTACTACAGCTCCAACGTCTCACTACAGCTCCAACGTATGTGGCTCTTGCTCCCTACTACAGCTCCAACTACTACAGCTCCAACATATGTGGCTCTTGCTCCCTACTACAGCTCCAACGTATGTGGCTCTTGCTCCCTACTACAGCTCCAACGTATGTGGCTCTTGCTCCCTACTACAGCTCCAACGTATGTGGCTCTTGCTCCCTACTACAGCTCCAACGTATGTGGCTCTTGCTCCCTACTACAGCTCCCTACTACTACAGCTCCAACGTATGTGGCTCTTGCTCCCTACTACAGCTCCAACGTATGTGGCTCTTGCTCCCTACTACAGCTCCAATGTAGGTTACTCTTGCTCCATACTACAGCTCCAACATATGTGGCTCTTGCTCCATACTACAGCTCCAACGTATGTGGCTTTTGCTCCCTACTACAGCTCCAACGTCTGTGGCTCTCGCTCCCTACTACAGCTCCAACGTCTGTGGCTCTCGCTCCTACTACAGCTCCAACGTCTGTGGCTCTCGCTCCCTAACAGTCCAACTTTACAAGTAGTATCTCTGCATTGCACTCTATTTTTCAGCTGTTGGATGGTGTGTCAGCAAGCCCAAATTATGATCTACCAGTCACCTGTCCAAGATCTACTGGTAGATCACGAGCTGCTGGTTGCTGACCCCGACTTTAGGGTTCCAAATTCTGATTTAACTCCCAATTTCAACCACCTTGTACAAGCAAATATGGGTGTCTGTCAGAAATGCACTTCTATAGCTGGCAAGAATTTGGTGGTGAAAGAATCACCAAAATGGACATGCTTGTAGGTGTTACCCTGTCGCTACAGGTGAGCGTTTCACTTCCCCAATGAGAGAGGCGCAAGCGAGACATGGCTTGTAAGGTTCTTTAAATGGGCAATTTCATGCATCAATATGAGGCTTCTTCCCATCAAAAACCATGCAAGAGGCATTAATGCATAAAAGAATGGACAACGTATGCCAAGGCATCACACTGATGTGAACTAGCACCATTTACAACAATGGGCAGCTTGTGTACACGAGTGGACATGCGTTAAAATGAGTAAAAAAAAAACCGCACAGGCATGAACTAGTCTTTTTAAGAGTATGTATTCCTGTCTTACCTCGTAAGTGCTGGTAAGCCGCAACCGATAGAAAACCGGAATGAAGATGTACGCAGGAATCAGCAGCCCGAGGACGTAAGAGCAGCCAAGGAACCAGTACTCCGTTCCAAAGCGATACATCTCTGAAGGCACGCCGAGAATAGCCACAGCGGACTGGAATGTAGCCAGAAGTGACAAGGCTACCGGGAAGAAGCCCATATTACGGTTGGCCAGCAGGAACTCTTGTGTGGTGCGCTGTTTTCCTCCACTCAAGGCATAGTAGAGTCCTATGGCTGAGGACAGGACTAAGAGCAGGGCGAAGATAATGTAATCCACCGTAGTAAACGTCATGGTGGATACAAGACTAATTCCAGCTACACAAGTCACTGTCCGCTGGGTTTGTTCAATGTTCCGCAGTTTGTGTGTTCATTTTAGGTTTCTACTGAAGACGAATTAGAGCGTCCACATGATTTGTGAAGATGCAATTACAAGGTCCTCTGGTTTGGTTTCCACCAGTCATCTTGAAACATTCCTGCCGTGTGAAGGAACCGCTACAGCATAGATGTCTAATCCCGGCTTAATCTTTTAATCTCTAGTAAACCTGTAAGAAAACAGAGGGAAGTCAGATTTTAACTAGTTACAGTATAATAAAGTAGTTAATGCTTCAACCTCCACAGTTAAGAAGAAAGTTACATGATCCCACAGAGGCTGAAGTTCGGAGTATATACTATGGAAGCATCTGGCATGTGTCCTAGAACTACAAATGCTTCCATGGTATATATGATATTTAGGGGCATGGACACACAGCGGGTAAAATACGTAGCCATTTTTCTCAGTAAATACACTGCTCAAAAAAATTAAAAAGGAACACTTTGAAAACCCATCAGATCTCAATGGGGAGGAATCTCCTGCTGGATATCGATACTGATATGGACGGGGTAATGTGTTAGGAACGTAAGGATGCCCCATTGTTTGATGGAAATGAAAATGATCGACCTAAAGAGGAGTGAATTCAGACACCCCGAAAATCAAAGTGAAGAAATGATGCAGCAGGCGAGTCCATTTTGCTGAAATTCCATTGCAGCAACTGAAAATGGTCCTCAGTAGTCTGTATGGCCCCCATGTGCTTGTATGCATGCCTGACAACGTCGGGGCATGATCCTAATGAGAATATGGATGGTGTCATGGGGTATTTCCTCCCAGATCTGGATCAGGCACCACTAAGCTCCTGGACAGTCTGAGGTGCAACCTGGCGGCGTCAGATGGACCGAAACATGATATCCCAGAGGTGTTCTATTGGATTTAGAACAGGCGAGTGTGGGGGCCATTCAATGGTATCAATTCCTTCAACCTCCAGGAACTGCCTGCATACTCTCCCCACGAGGCCGGGCATTGTCGTGCACCAGGAGGAACCCAGGACCACTGCACCAACATAGGGTCTGACAATGGGTCCAAGGATTTAATCCCGATGCCGAATGGCAGTCAGGGTGCCATTGGCTAGCCTGTAGAGGTCTGTGCGTCCCTTCATGGATATGCCTCCCCAGACTATCACTGACCCACCACCAAAACGGTCATGCTGAACGATGTTACAGGCAGCAGAACGTTCTCCACGGCTTCTCCAGACCCTTTCACGTCTGTCACATGTGCTCAGGGTGAAGCTGTTCTCATCTGTGAAAAGCACAGGGCGCCAATGGTGGACCTGCCAATTCTGGTGTTCAATGGCAAATGCAAAAATCTAGCTCTTTGGTGCTGGGCAGTGAGCACAGGGCCCACTAGAGGACGTCGGGCCCTCAGGCCACCCTCATGAAGTCTGTTTCTGATTGTTTGGTCAGAGACATTTACACCAGTGGCCTGCTGGAGGTCATTTTGTAGGGCTCTGGCAGTGCTCATCCTGTTCCTCCTTGCAAAAAAGGAACAGTCCTGCATATGGGTTAAGGACCTTCTATGGCCCTGTCCGGCTCTCCTAGAGTAAACTGCCTGCGTCCTGGAATCTCCTCCATGCTCTTGAGACTGTGCTGGGAGACACAGCCAACCTTCTGGCAATGGTACGTATTGATGTGCCATCCTGGAGGAGTTGGACTGCCTGTGCAACCTCTGCAGGGGCCAAGCATCGCCTCAAAACTAGTGAAAAACAGTCAGAAAAGATGAATAGAGAAAACAAATGTCAGTGGCCTCCACCTGTAAAACCATTCCTGTTTTGGGGATCGTCTCACTGAGGCCCATCTAGTGCACCTGTTAATCAGTTTCAGCTGCTTTGGTGTTAATGAAATTAACAACCCCCTCTGCTACTTAACTGACCAGATCAATATCCCAGGATTTTCATTGACTTGATGCTATACTCTTTATTAAAAAGTTTTCCTTAAATTTTTTGGAGCAGTGTATATTTATAAAAGGTGCTATTGACATATTTTCACCACATTTCGATAACAACCCATGCAATCTATACAAAGAAAGCAAAACAAATAAGTTCAGAAATTAAGTTATGTGTAAAAAAATGGAATGACAGGGAAAAAGTATTGAGCACATTAACTGAAATTTAATTAATACTTCGTACGAAATCCTTTGTTGATAATGAGAGCTTCAAGACACTTCCTGTATGGAGAAACTAGCGGCATGCATTGCTCAGGTGTGGTTTTGGCCCGTTCTTCCACAGAGTCTTAAAATCTTGAAAATTCCACAGGCCTCTATAAACTCTGATCTTTAATTCTTTCCATAGAATTTCTGTTGGATTCAAGTCAGGTGATTGGCTGGGCCATTCTAACAGCTTTACTTTTTCCTTCTTTGAAACCAATTGAGAGTTGACTTGGCTTTGTGTTTGGGATCATTGTCTTGCTGAAATGTCCGCCCTCGTTTCCTATTCATCATCCAGGTAGATGTCAGCAGATTTTTATGAAGAATGTCTTGCTACAGTTTTCCATTCATCCTTCCTTCAATGATAGCTTGCCAGTACAGTATGCTGAAAAACAACCCCACACCATGTTAGAATGGTGTTTTTTTGGTGCCATTTGACCTCCAAACATGGAGTGTATTTTGGCATCCAAAGAATTCAATTTTTGTCTCATCTGACCAGACTATATTGTCCGAGTATTTCACAGGCTTGTCTAAATGTTGTGCAGCAATCTTTAAACAAGCTTCAACATGCTTTATTTTCCAGCAATGGAGTCTTGCATGGTGAGCGTCCACACAGGCCATGGAGGGTGAGTGGATTACTTACGGTTTTCTTAGAAACAATTGTACCTGCTAATTCCAGGTCTTTCTAAAGCTCTCCACAAAATGGTCCTTGGCTCTTATACAACTCTTCTGATAATTCATTTCACTCTTTCAGAAATCTTGTGAGGAGCCTCTGGTCGTGGCCTGTTTACAGTGAAATTATGTTCTTTCCTTTTCTGGATTATGGCCCCAACAGTGCTCACTGGAAAATTCAGAAGTTTAGAAATCCTTCTGTAACCAATGCCATCAGTATGTTTTGCAACAAGTAGGTTGCAAAGGTCTTGAGAGAGCTTTTTGCTTTTACCCATTATGAGATGACACCTTGGTAATCAGACACCGTTTTATAGGCCATCAGTTGAGACTGAACCAGCTAATAAATTTGCACCAACAAGGGGGAGGATTGCTTTCTAATTACTGATAAAATTTCAGCTGGTATCTTGGCTTTCCAGGTCTTTTTGCACCTCCCTTTCTTCATGTGTTCAATACTTTTTCAATGTGTCATTCCATTTTATTACACAACTTAATTTCTGAATGTATTTGTTTTGGTTTAGTTGTATGTATGAATTGCATGAGTTGTTACATACATTCACCGATAAACATGGTGCTGTGTTCAATCCTCATTTTACCCACTTTATTTTTTTCTTTTTTAATCACTTTTATTGCTGTCACAAGGAATGTAAACATCCCCTTTGAGAGCAACAGGCATGTGACAGGTACTCTTTGTGGAGAGATCTGAGTCTATATGGCAACTGTTTCCGAGTAAGCCAGAAGTAAATGTCAAGTCATCGTTTATGGTTTAATATAAAGGGAAAGCAGACACACGGCTGGCCACTCGGGACTCCCGGGGGGACAGGAGATGCCAGGAGAGCTGTGGAAGGTGGCAGGAGGGGGACATCCCCGCTGCTTGTACAAGCAATCAAGCGGTTCCGATTGCTTGTACAAGAGAGCCAACCACTGGCTCTATGCAGGCATCACTTCGGTATAACCAACGAAAGTCCAGTGACCTACGGGTACGTTGCTGGTCCGAAAGGGTTAAGAAAAAAAAAAAAAAAAAAACAGGAATTGGCTATTCACAAAAGAGTGGGCTACACTGTAATTAAATTTTAAGGGCTTTTTGTAAAAAAACAAAAAAAAAAAACTCACAGAAATGAAACTCCCTACTTCTACCAGTTGCTTTCTGGATTAATATAAGCAAAGCTTATTGCATGTCACACATTATGCAACTTTCTTTCCTTCAATCACGGATTGAAATCAACAGTTAGAGCGCTTTTCCTTTCTTTCCATGGGATTCCCCCATCAACACAGTCAGAATCAAGTGATTTTCTTTCCTGAAACCCGCAAAAATGGCATCATCTATGGCCAGCTTTATATGTGTGTAAAATTCAGCTTGAACTACTGAGCTATGTAAAAACAAGTAAGAGGGAAGTGCATTAATAGGAGCCTGAAGCTCCACTCGCTGGCAAGATATAAGGATACATCATTTTCACATTCAATGTTCCAAATGTATCTGAAAAAAAGAAAGAAAGAAAGAAAGAAAGAAAGACAGAGAGAGAGACAGAGAGAGAGAGACCGAGAGAGACAGAGACAGAGAGAGAGAGAGACAGAGAGAGACACAGAGAGAGAGAGAGAGAGACACAGAGAGAGAGAGAGAGAGACAGAGACAGAGAGACAGACAGAGACAGAGAGACAGAGACAGAGAGACAGAGACAGAGAGACAGAGAGACAGAGACAGAGAGGCAGACATACATACAAAGCCAAGAGAGAAAAGTCAACTTAACCAGACAGCCAACAGAATGGTATAAAGAGGACACCACCAATTTTCAAAGCCTGCAGTTCAGCTCCTCTTATTCATTTTTCATAGTAAATAAACACAGAACTGATGAAAGGATTGGGTGTTGGGAAAGGGGCCTTATAAGAGCCCAGTCTCTCAGATCTTTTGAAAACTGGCCATTACCATGGCAGCACTAGGAAATTGGTTTGATGGAGAATTGAGTTCAAGAAACATAAAAGTCATTCAAAACCTCATCACAAATCAACACATGGATATCATTCTTTCAAAATAAACTCAACCTTCAGAGCAGGAAAAAAAAACCCAAACATTAGTTACATAGTTAGTCTGGCTGAAAAAAGACAAAAGTCCA